ATCCAGAATGTCGAAGCGAGGTAAATTTTTCCTTCATTTTCCAACCCACTTTACCTCACTTTCCGATTCACCAAACAAAAAACCACGGTGATCTCAGGCTTTTGTTTTCTTTTAATTTTGCAATAGGAAGGGGAGGTAGTGCGGGGAACAAGTTCAGGATGTCGCTGGGTTTACCAGTGGCGGCAACGGTGAACTGTGCAGACAACACGGGAGCCAAGAACCTCTACATCATTTCAGTGAAGGGAATCAAAGGGCGTCTCAACAGGCTCCCATCCGCTTGCGTCGGCGACATGGTCATGGCCACCGTCAAGAAAGGAAAGCCCGATTTGAGGAAGAAGGTGTTGCCTGCTGTCATCGTCCGACAACGCAAACCTTGGCGTAGAAAGGACGGCGTCTACATGTACTTCGAAGGTCCAAAACATTCTTCTTTCTTTCTTTCTTTCTTTTTCTTTTGTAATCTTTTTATCTTTGATTTGTTTTTGTTGCTTCTTTTTGATAATGGGGTAACTGATTTTTGTTCTTGGTTACTCTTAATGGGAAGCATAGAGTAATAGGAATTCGCCAGTTTTAAACAGCATGATGCTGTTGTTTATCTAGTGCATTGTGTTACCTGTCTGCTGGTATATTTGATTTAGTTACTTAGTACTAGAATTTATTTGTTTTTGTTTGAAACTTAGTTAGGGTTTATTTATCTGTTCGCAGATAATGCTACTAGAATTTATTTGTTTTTGTTGGAAACTTAGTTTGGGTTTATTTATTTGTTTGCAGATAATGCTGGTGTCATTGTCAACCCCAAGGGAGAAATGAAAGGTAGACCAACTTATCTCTTCATTCTATTTTGATATTTTCAATTACATAGTAGTGCATGTTTTGAATTATGAAGTCAAATGCAAAAATTCTGTTCTGTTGTTTATGTTGTTTTGGGTGGGTTTTAGATGAAGTTCATTTAATGGTTTGATTCTTTTGCTCTTGCAATGTCAGATGTGAAATCAAGTCAATAGTGTAGAAATTTTCCTGAAAATTTGTTGCCGCCAAATCTAAATTATGAAAAGAAGACCATTCACTGATTTTGTAAAGATCTTCTTTTCTATTCTTCCAAGTTATCATAGAACTTGAGAAGTGTCAGTTATCTTCTCTAGAAGTATGGTTTCCCAAACATGACTTGAGAGATGATTTTTTGTCTGCGATTGTTGTTACTGCCTTCGGTGTAGTGGAATTACCTTTTGTTAGGCTATTTATGTCACTGCCTTTATTATTGATTTGCGGTTCACTAGCGTAAATTGATATGTTGTTGGATTTGATATTTGAAACTTATTTGGGTTCATTGATTTGATATTCTCAGGATCTGCTATTACTGGTCCCATTGGAAAGGAGTGTGCCGATCTGTGGCCTAGAATTGCAAGTGCTGCCAATGCTATTGTCTGAAAGAGTTCATGGTTTTGTTTGTGATTGTAGTTTTAATGTTATCTTTCTATTATTTTCCTTATAACATGTTTTGAGAGACGTTGATCAAACAATAGTAAGATTTGCAACCTATTTTCGTATATCTAGTAGTCTAAAACTTATTTTCAAATTTACATCGGTTTTAACATGCTTTCATGATCTTTTCCTTGTGTAGAAGCAAAAAATCCCTCTCAATGTGATGCTTTGCAACATGTTAAAGTTTCACCTTGACGTTCCTTGCTATGCCAATTTGCATATTAACATCGATTTTCTCATCCAACTAGCCTAAGAATTTGGGACCTTATAGTAGTTGATTTTGGCCATCATCTGTGATGGCTCCTAGTGATCATGTTGCATGCTTGAGAAGCGTTTGGCATGGAGTGATGAGCTCACTCAAGCATTTGGTTTCTCAGTTGGTACGGAGTGATGAGCTGGCTCCAGCGTTTGGTATGGAGTGATGGAGCTTGCTTTAGATCATTGCATGATTATGCTCGATCCAGGTGGTGCTCGCTCTAGATCATTGCATGATTAAGCTCTTTGATCATGGATTAGATGGGTAAGAACAAAATAAGTTAATTATTAGCTAGCTAATTCCAATTCCAAAAAGCCGCTAGAGGCAGACTCTTCCAATTTTTTAGGCGATTATCATCTTGAAAGATTCTAAAATAAGTTGAGCAATGGTGTCAAATTTCTAATTTTCCTTGCATATAATCCTATCGTAGGTCCTACTTATTCAAAACGAAAATTGAGTATATAGGGGATTTATAAATCTAACGAGTTTCTTCTTTGTAGAAAGAATACAGAAGTGTTGTTCTATTGAAAAAGTGACCTCTTTGTTGGTAAATTAATAGCAAAACAATGGGAAAAAGTACACTACTCTGACCTGATTCATCTTAGTTCGTTAGTATCAAAAGAAACATCCATTCAGAATCCTCAACATGGTTAGCGGAAGTTAGAAAATTATTTAAATACTCATGAGTTGAAAAACAATATTGAAACGTGTCCTTTGGAATTAGATTACAGGGTTTAACCTATTAAGGGTTCTTTTTAATTTTCTCTCGTCACAAAAAATTGAAGTTAATTTTGCTAAGTCTTTTAAGATTTCTACATTAATTAATCGATTAATCATTCATTAAACATCCAAAAACTCAAGAAATTCAAGTGCAAATCAGTTACCTTTGACACCAAAATAATATTTTTGAAACTCTAAACACTTTTTTGAAATTGGAACTAATTACAAAAGAAAATCAAGGGAAAGAGACAATATTTTCATATTAGATGTTGGTGTGCATCAATTTAGCTAAGAAAATTTCATCAATTTCATCATTTACGGTAAGTGAAACTTTAACACTAATCTTAACCTTAAGTTGGGGTTTTCAACCCCTAGTATGAAAGTTTTGGTATTTTCAATTAAAAAGTAGATTATTGTCAAGAGTTATTAAGGTTACGGTTAGGGTTGTAGCCCTAAACTTTGACTTTAATCCAATACAATTTGAGGTTTTGAAATCCTAGTTGAAAATTTTTCTATTTTCGATGCAAAATTAGTTTGTTGTAACAACTATTGATGGCTAGTGACGTTTCGTATGACATGGTGGTTTTACTGCAACAGTGATTGGTTCAATATATGGATGTTGACCATGGTAGACACTTTTTTATAAAATTGAAAACTGACATCTTCGAAGGTATTGTAGATGATCCCATTATTGGCAAGAGAATGAGTATAGCCATTAATGCATGATATCCAAAGTCCAAGAAATATTTGAGTTGAGAAGTGATGAACATGCACTGAAGTTGTTCAAAATGAATCAAGGTTCCAAGAAAATCCACTTATACTTAATGTTCATACCTATAATTGCTGTGCAAATAATAAACCATGTATCGAGTAACTCTTTTATTAATGTAAATAATGTTAATATGCTTGATATTGATATTGATGTTGTTAAAATATTGATGTTGTTGGAAATGGTAGTGGTAAAAGGAAAAGGTAACGTAGTTGTTGGTAGTTCAACTACTAGTTTAAAGAGAAGGAATGTTGGTCTAGTTAGTGGTAGAGGCAAAAAGCATGTTGGTGTAGCTAGTGGCTATAGTAAAGATAGAGGAATAGTTAATGGAGCTAGTTAAGGGAGTGTATCAGTCGGTTCAGTTTAGGGAGAAATCAAAATCGACAAAACTGATGAAAAATTTCAATCGACTAAAATCGATTGATTACAATGAAAAATCCATTAACCAAAGTCGATCTCGGTTTTAGTCGCTTTTGGTAGATTGAAAGTTTTTTGTTTTTCTTTTTAAAGTTAGGTTTCATTTAAATAAGATAGTAATCCCTGTACATTCATAGAGTCAAGGTTGATATGGAAGCAGTCAAGGTCCTTTGTTCACAAACTAGTTATACAAAAACACCAGTAGACATCTTAGCCCTTCAATACAAAAAATCATTCCTTTAACATTAACATCCATCCCATTACACCCATCACCTGAAAAAGCATATCACCAATAAAGGTGGCTGGCAACATGGAAGAAGATAGATACCGACAGGAAGAGACGACAAAGAGCACCAAATAAAGGAAGAAAGAAGGAAGAAAGAAGGGGGGACAAATAAAGAATGAGGGAAGGTCGACAGGGGAAGAAAGAAGAGGAGTGGGGGATTAATAAAGTCTATTAATGGAATTTCCCCCTTCCCCTCGATTTTTCAATAAGTCTAGTTAGAGGGAGAGTGCCCTCGACTACTGAATTGAGGTGACCCTAGTACCTTCAGTCACAACTAATGCTAGCAACCACCACTAAATAACCGAGCCGACAGTTATTGTTGTAGTTGGTTTCGGTTAGTTGCTTAGTTGCAACCGATTAGTGCTCTGTCCTAGAGCTAGTGGCAAAGGTCAAGGGATTGTTGGTGTTGGTGCTGGTATATGGAGGGACAATGTTGGTGTTGGTGCATGTAGCTTATCTACTAGTAAAGGTAGAGATATTGTTGGTGTTAATGCCAGTAGTGTAGTTAATGGGAAAGGCAACGATAAAAAGAACGTTGATTTTAGTGCTAGTATTTCATACAGTGGTAATGGTAAAGACAATATAGGGGCAAGTAATTCTTATGTCAATATGAGTGAAAGTGATTCTAGTAGTGTTTAAATGGACACTGATAAGGAATAAGGAATTGATACGTTTAGTGAGATTGTTGATTGGATGCTTGAAACTGAGAGTGATGATCAACAAAATCAGTCAAAAGGTAATGGTGCTAAGAATTTAGATAATGAGGATAGGGCACTTAATAGTGATTGTCACGACCTAATCCAAAGCCATGGTCGACACAAGGGCCTAATAGGCAAAGCCCACTAAACCCGAGCAAGCCTTATAGTGTTGACACATCTCATATAGCAATATTCCATCATATTCATATACCATTCATATATAAACACCTAACATATTTTGAGTGTGCCTTAACTCACTATTAAAATATAAAGTGTTGGCATTATCTTTATATATTCTCTATCATAAGTATTTAACATGATGGCTACATCAACATTACTACACTTCTATCAAGTACAAAATTAAACATGACAAGAGAGTGGAGTGATACGGGCTGGTAGAGCCTAGTGAATGCTAGAGTAACATATGCCACTATGATGGATAAGGGTAGAGCTACTTTATTACGACCTAGCTAACTTTTGTTTAGAAAACCAAAAACATGAATTTTAAAATGTGAGTATAAAACCTCAATGAAACACATACGAGGGGAACAAGAATATTAGTGAAGGAGTATTTTATAAATCTATGCCATTTTTCTTTAAGACCATGTAATTTTTTTTTGGAACCAAAACTACGAATGCAATTCTCAATTCTTAAATCATTTTAAAACTCTTAACCATTTTCCTCCAAGACATATTCAATCTACATATAAGAACTTACATTGTAAACACTTTTCATATATCACGAGGTAATATAAACTAGCTTGGAAACACATTTTAAAACTCAATTTGTCAATTGCCCATAAACATTACATCTGAAAACATATCATTCGGTGGAGCTTGCTTAAGTAGCACTAGTGTAGTGATATTGGTATTTCGTCGTCCCATTTTATAGGCCACCTGTGATAATGGTATTTTGTTGCCCCACTATGAAGGTGATCCACAAGGTAGCTAACCTTTACATGTGTAGATGTAACAATGGCCCACTACTTATAGTTAATGACCTCATAACATTGCTTTTGTCATTCCCAGCCACAAGGCTAGCATCATTTTGTCCATTCATGTTTGTATTTCTTTTAGTCATCAACACTCAGAGTTTTACATAAAACTAATCAAATTTTTTTTTCAAAACATGAAATCGATGACATGTAAAACTAACATTCCTTTATTTAAAATCTAGCACATTCCTTTAAAACCAACACTTATAAAACTAACATTATCATCACATTAAGAGTCTAGCAAATTTATTTAAAATCCATAACTCATAAAACTAGTAATACCATTACATTGACAATTTATATATTTCAAAGTCTTATTCCTGTAACACCCCTAACTTTGATATGGGTTATGTGTGATGTTGGATAAGTTATTTGATAAGTTAATTTGAACCTTAATGTATACGCTTGTACACTTATGATTATGCTTATGTCTATAGAGAATGACTTTGAATTTTGATATGTTGAGGATATTAATGGATGTTGTGTATGAACTAAGTTTATGGAAGTATGAGTCATGATGCTTAGGCAAAATGTTGAAATATGTTTGATGAACTTATGAGATTTTAAGCTTAATTGGAACTTTGGAGTTGTTGCTTGAATGTAAGCATTGAACCTATAAGTTATATGGTTGCTTTGAAGTGTCGATTAAAGTAAAGAATGGTTTTGGGGTTTTGGATTTGGACTAAGGAAGTTAGAGGTTTTGAAAATTTTCATTCTGGAGGAAATGTATCAATACATTCACTAATGTATTGATACATTCTTGGCAAGAAGAACTAGGAAGGTATTTTGTAATATTTCTATCGATACATTCAAGAATGTATCGATAGATTTGAACTAAGGGATATTCAGCATAATTTTGATCGATTCATCATCCAAATATATCAATAGATTTGTGAAGAGCGACATTCTATGAAAAATGTATTAATAGATTCTCCAATTTATTGATAAATTTTAGGT